AATTGTTTGGTTGTTTAAAAAAAAATTTCATTGATAAAATACGTGATGTGTTTAAAGTGAATCATACTGTGTTTCGTATTCAGGTGGTATGGGAAAAGGGAGTTATTTGTGATACAACTTTCAACTAGATGCAACAGAACATTCGCATGCGCGTCCCCTGTAAACCACTGTGCATTACATTGTTGATAAGTTTGTAGCTACAAAAGAAAGGGTGGTAAAGCTGATTGTCTGACTGTGTATGGACTTTTAAAGTAGTGATAAATGTGAAATAAATAAAGAGATATGTAGGAATGTAGATTTTATTTATATAGCTAGACAAAAAACGTGCAAATAAATTATCAAACCGACAGAGAGAGAGAGAGAGAGAGAGAGAGAGAGAGAGAGAGAGAGAGAGAGAGAGAGAGAGAGAGAGAGAGAGAGAGAGAGAGAGAGAGAGAGAGAGAGAGAGAGAGAAAGCGAATGTAAAAGAAAGTTTCCCTTATAACAAATCAACTAAATCAAGCATGAATTTCCCGGCACTACTAATCCACAACCTACCGTCTGTCAGGTTCAAGGTCACCATTACGAGAATTTTTTATTTGCTTGTCATTACTCTTTCGGCATTATATGGTTCATATCGTCAGTACAACGCCCGTGAAGAAACATTCCAGGATTAAGCTGGTGCTGAGAAATGAACAGTTATTAAGGAAGTGTGTTTTTAAAGTCATTGAAGGTTGTTGCTGGGGGATAGTCCTCAGGGACAGATGAGCAGACTTCCTGTTCAATTTAACATTTTAACGAATATATATCACCAAAAACTATTTCCTATTGTATTTTTAGTTATATTTTTACCATTTGGAACGCTGTGGATGAGGTATATATATATTTTGTCCTTTATTACCAGTGAATGATAATACTGATAACTGAAATATGGTATCTGGTGAAGAAGCAGTTGCCACGTCGCCTTTATTGCCAATGTTGCAACAATCACAGCATTCTTCATAAACCGTAAAAAAAATGTATGAGGAAAATAAGACAACCAATACCAAAGAAAGAAAAAAAGAATTAAATAATCCACAGATAGACCCACAAATAAATCCCACCACGTTAAAAATGAAAGTACACGAGAGGGAGATTCCACACGTCCACTTTGCAGCTGCAACAAAGGGATCCGTGTTATGAGCTCTTAAAATAAGTGTTAAATGTGAGTCCTATAGGCCCGGTGCCAGATAATTTGTCCCGTGCTTACGACAACTGCATACAGGTGGTTCGGTTGAAAGCTGTCTCATTTTGCAATTAGACTTTTTTTTTATAAAACTAAAATGTTATGTTGAATAACAGCCGATTCCCGACCCGGTTAGAGACTGTTGAAAATACTTTCTTTAATGTTTATTCAGTGAATATTGAGAGCAGAAGTGTGGCGTTGTCATATTTTGCTTAGATTTATATATGTACGTCAGTAAGATGTAGCTTAGTGCCTTAGACAAAAGCGCTATAAGGTATTGGCTGTTCTGTGTCAGTGATTCATGATGGTGCCCCATAGTGTTCATTAGTTGATAAAATAAATAACAATATATGTATATATATGCATATATGTTTTTTTAGTTTTGAAGTTAAAGTGGGGTATTATGAACTGAAAGCTTAAAAACGTCCAAATAAGAACATTTTCATCATGGAATTATTGTTCAGAGAAAGTGCTGTATGACCTACATGATATGTATTGTTATGCATATCACAGATATACCTTATATTGTACATCAGAAAGCTTTATTGATCATTCAAGAAGGGTGTTTAGCGTGTAAACTGTCTGTCTGAGGTTTGCAAAGTGCATTTAAATATTTTATTCAGAGGCCTATTCTTATTTGCAATAACTACTGTGGTTATTTTAGCATATGTTTTTGTTATATATATTATAACATTTGCTATAAGCAGTAGTGATCTAAATGATATAAAGAACAACCATTTTGTTTAATATTGAATGGTAGACAGATTTTCCTATCGAAACAGAGGTATTGCAAGATAATTTGGGAAACTTTCCGTATATGTCAACCAAGAGTACAGTAAAATAAGTGTATATAGGAGTGGTTACCTTAACGAAAACTAAGACACTTTTAATCCATGGCTAAAGGTTGGAGGCTAGTTGGCTATAGTCGATGCGCATAGTAGAGAGGCAGCGGTGGCTCAGAAATTATTATTATTATTATTTTTTTGTTTTCAGACTTTTCTACGGGGAGATGTTAGCCCAGGTTTCTCGATACCCACTGCGTGTCCCTGTGCGGATTATGCCAGTAAGTATAGTTCAATGTGTTTCTTGTCTCAAACAGTGACTGAAGTATTATAAAACAGAAGAGAAGCAGTATCTTTAAAGTTAGAATAGGGAGCTACTGAAAGAAGATTAACCATACTTTTTTTTTTTTCTTCTTCTTTTTCTTCTTCTTCTTCTTCTTCTTCTTCTTCTTCTTCTTCTTCTTCTTCTTCTTCTTTTCTTTTTCTTCTTCTTTTTTTTTCTTTTTCTTCTTCTTTTCTTTTTCTTTTTCTTTTTCTTTTTCTTTTTCTTTTCTCTTTCTCTTTCACTTTCTCTTTCTTTTTCTTCTTCTTTCTTCTTCTTTCTTCTTTGTCTTCTTCTTTTCATTATTTTCTGACTGAGTGACATCATGTGACTGAGTGACTGATTTTCTGACTGAGTGACATCATGTCATGATGACATAATATTGACATGTTTACAAACTGGCATAAAAATCAATCCTTCTTGTTTTTCATTTATTTTGGTGACACATATTATGCAGTGTATTGCAATACTGCTGATGTAAAAGTTAATAGTGTTTAATCAGATATCGTTATGATTTTTTTTTTTTTTCTTAAGAGAAATATTGGCCTAAAGTCATTTTCACCTTAAAGGTACATTATTATATCTTTTCCTGAACTTATATTGTAGTTATTAACCATTAAAAATAATTGCAGACAGATGTCAATATAGATTATCGACATAGGCTTTATTTATTTTTCTTTCTTCTTTCTTCTTCTTCTTCTTCTTCTTCTTCTTCTTCTTCTTCTTCTTCTTCTTCTTCTTCTTCTTCTTTGTCATAACCAGATATTCAGTTATTTGAATATGATTGTCATTACAGGGGAGCCGCAGACGACAGGCAGTACACCAAGATCGTTTTATTCAGCAAGGGGCAGCTCTCTTGGCTGGATTAGGCTTGTGTATCTCATCATTTTCCCTGAAGAAGCTCTCAGCCATGCCACACAAACCGAGACGTCTGATCTAAAAACTGGACATATAGGCGCTGGACAGAAAAAAGTAATTATGAAATTAATTTATTATAGTTTATAATTGAAAGTGAAAGTGATTTAGGTCAGTTGTATAAACTTGCACACCGATCTTTCAAATGTATCGGCTATGTTTTATTTCCAGCAATAGCAGGGTAAATATCCAACAATATTATTACTATTATTATTATTTTTTTACTTACTATTAAATCTTGAATAGAAAGTATACAAATATTATAGGGAGTCGTAAAGATTAGCCATGAGAAAATCCACCATAATATAGGTTGTAAGTTTTACATTTTTAGACTGATGCTACAAAGGAAGATACATACATTCAAATCCCATCATAACTATTATCGTCTGTAGTACTGGATTGTAGACCTTAAAATTACATTATGCTTCAACCTCAAAGGAATAGCACTTTTTCTTCTTGTAATTGGTGACGTTTGTAGTGGATCACGTATTATTTATATACTACTGGTCTATAAAATCATAGCATTATGTCTAGTAAATGTCTATGATTGTTTTTATGGCTATGGTAATTATCAAAAAGGTTCACCATATGTTATTTTCAGATCTAGCAGTATTTTGTATGGCTGTATAAGAAGGTGCTCTTTGATTTGGTAAAAAAGTGGTAGAGACAAGGAACTCCAGTCTTTAGGCTTTATTTATTTTACATTTGACTCCAAAATTGTCGGTAACAAAAACTTAAATTCTTTTCTCATAATGGAAAAAAAAAGAAAAAAAAGAAGTCATCTTTTTTTTTTTTTTTACTGATTATTTGTAGATATTCTTAGTATTGATTTTCCGACTAAGTGGCATCATGTCATGTGACATAATATTGACATGTTTACAAACTGGCATAAAAATCAATTCTTCTTGTTTTTCATTTATTTTGGTAACACATATTATGCAGTGTATTGCAATACTGCTGATGTAAAAGAAGTTAATAGCCTTTATTCAGATATCATTATGAGTACAGAAATATTGGCCTAAAGTCATTTCCACCTTAAAGGGACATTATTATATCTTTTCCTGAACTTATATTGTAGTTATTAACTATTAAAAATAATTGCAGACGGATGTCGACATAGATTGTTTGCATTTAATCAGCAATATACCGTTAAGTTCTAGCTATTAGATAAAACTCCTGAGCCCTGTACATTGGTTTACACAGAGGCTTTAGGTGAGAGGAAATGAGGTTATTTAGGTATTTTTTAACTATTTTATGCTATTGATCTTTATATATTATAATGTAGGTATAATATTTTTATTTGAATTATTATGTGTATGATATTTGTGAGTACATTATAGATGCAGTAATATTCATTTGATTTTGCAATATTAGGTTTAGCAATCATAGGCCATACATATTTTGTGATACATGCTGTTCACATATCACAAATATAAATTCTCACATGTATATACCTTCTAGTTCTCTCATTCTCTTCATAAGGTGAATCTTTGGGAATTAAGGTTAGATAGTTCTATTTTTATACACAGTAAACGCTCATTCTGTATCTCGGCTTACCTACTTTTTCCCATGGTTGTGTAACACCAAAAAGGGGAAGTTCTAATTCTCAATTAGTATTACCCTTTTTCTAGTCTCTATTTCATGTGGAGTTCACACTGAACCTGATTCCAAAGTTGCACCCCATCTCTTCTTTCAATGATGTGTTATTCTTGAGATTTGCATCATGCATCTTCATTCCCACATACATATAGAAAGGTATTTGTTAATAAAAAATGTT